GTCTCTGACCTACCTTTAACTTTGCCATAAACACGCTCGGCTGACTGTGACAGGCTGACTTCAGGGCGCCGAGTTCATCGCCGTTTCACCACGAGGAAGGACTCGAGGCTTCAGCGGCCTCTACAGTTATCATTTGTATGAAACAAGCTGTTTTCTGATTGGCTGAAGGTTTGAACAGCATGCTGGACATGAAACCTCCTGGTTGCAGCGTTTAGTCGGGAGAGAAAGCTTTGATCACGTTCAGGATCGTCTCCCTGTGCAGCTCTGGACCGCTTCCAGTGAGGCGGCTGTTCTCAGATCAGTCCCGCTGCGTCCTGCTGTGTAAGCGTGTAAACGAGGGGTGGGGGAACGCCGCGTCCTGCTGTGTGTGCATCAGGGATTAACCTCTGTGATACAGCAGGTAAACCAGGGGTGGGGGAACGCCAGGCCTGATGGGCCGGTGTCCTGCAGGTTTTAGATCTGGGTCAACACACCTGAATCGCATGATGACTTCATTACCTGCAGATCTGGAGGGCGTTTAACCATTTAAACCAGCTGTGTTGGATCACGGACACATCTAAAACCTGCAGGACGCCTCGAGGCCTGGAGACCCCCACCCTGGTGTAAACAGTCAGATCAGACTGCATCCCGATGCAAAGGTCAGGTACTTGCACCCACGCTGGTGACGGTCTGTACGAGCTCGAGAGGATGACCTTGATTTTCAAACAGGAAACTTTTGCAACCTGCTCTCTGAGCTTTTCTGTCACACCTCATTGGCTGCAGCTGTGATTCTGTCACAAACCGGCCACTAGAGCTCAGTTTTAGGTGTAAAGTTCAAATATTTGTGTTAAAAAGTTATTTTTCAGTTTTTGGACTGATGACAAAAATCGCGTGGTCAGAGAGGAGCCTGAACCACAGCCTGATGGTGCGACGAGTGCAGGAAGTCTGGCAGCCCGCTCCTCTGCTTTCACTGGACACATGGACCTGGGTTCGGTTAGGCTGCTGGAGACTTGCTCAGTTCAGCCAGGTGGGCTGATCGCCTGCTGTCAGCGCACAAACACGGGGACGGTGGATTTTATCATCTCAGATGTACGTGTGGAAACATGTTCGAGGTTTTGTGCTGCTGAAAACGTGAGAGAGTCAAACAGCATCAGAGGAAGTTGGCTGGAGGGTCTCGCGCTTCCTCCGGATTGATGACGTCTGGACCGCCTCCTTTACTTACCTGCATCATGGCGTCAAGTCCAGTCGCCGCCAGTGTTGGTCAAGTTACTTGAAAAAAGTAATCAGATTACAGTATTGCCCACCTCTGGTCGCCGCTGTATGTTGGCAGCGGCGCTGATTCGGTCCAGATTGAGAAAGTTCCCCAGCATCTCCGCTTCAAGGTTCTCACCTCAGCTGTGGGAAACCAACACCTTCCACATCAGGCACACACAAAATGAGCAACAATGTGTTTGCTTTGTTTGTGTGTTTGTGTGTTTGCTGTTATCAACGTTTATCATCGGCGTCACGGGGATGGTTTCTCCACGTCGCTCTGCGCTCCGGGTTTTGTTTGTTCGACCCAGTTTTGTTCTTTTTCCTCTTTTGTGCGTCTCTGTGTCGTCATATTTTGGTAGTTTTGTCTTGTTTTTGTGTCTTTAATATTTCATTTTCACTTCTCTTAGCGTTCGTCTGGTTTCTGGTTCTGATTCGTGTGTTTCTGGACTTTTTTCCTCTCTTTGTGGTCGTTTCGTGTATTTTTGTGCGTTGCCGTTGGGG